GAACACTGTGGAAGTGGTAGAATATGACATACAGTGGGGTTATGGTTGTTTGAAGTGAGAAGTCAACAGACGGTTTTTTTGCCATATGAGTATACTTTGCCCAGGGTGTACCACGTGGAGATAAGTCTTTCACACTCCCCATGTTTGAAACATACAAAATGCATATTTAAAATGGTGTGCGCAGACTTTCCACTAAAGTTCAAGTTGAGGAAGCGTTACGATTATGGAAAAATTGTAGCAAATTTTGCCCTTTCGATCGGTTTAACAGCTCAGTGAATGTTCAAAGCGCACAGTTCCGGGACATCTAAGTCGGATATTTTCCAATTGACAAATGTACAAAGGTGGTTTTCTAGGTCTCAAATTATATTGGACTGCACATCGAGTTAGTCATGAAATATTGCTTTATGAAAATTTTTCATTATTTTATATTGATTGCCCTATTAAGAAAATTAGGTGATTCATCGGTGGTTATAAATAAGAATATATAGGTGAAAGCAGAACGTAAAATTCCTAGTTAATTGGTTTAATCCTAACCAAATGCCTCTTAACGATCTTTGTCCTGTTTTAGTTATCAGAGTAAATGGTCTTGCACTGTCATAGCCTACCAGGAGAGTTTAATTATTTCGGATTTTTGAAAATCCGACGTATTGCGAAAATTTGCTAAAGTCAGATTAAAGCATATTTTCGCTTCCACAAGAACAAGTAAAGTCTGAGCAATATACGGCTCAGATTTTCACCTATTGTTGAATGTCAAAAATCCCCTTGATAGTCTCTAGGACATAAAATCGATGAAATCATTGAACAATTATCATTTTGATTTACCAAGCGTTTGTTTAAAGAGCATAATTGCAGTGGGATAACACGGGTTTTTATCCAAAGTTACGTGCTAAATTGAGTTCAGTACACTCAAGTAGTAGATACCACACAGCTACAAAAAAGTACAACCAGCTCATAACAAAGTTCTCTAGTGTGAGAACCTACCCCCCCCTTTCCACAAAGTAGCGGGAATACGGGGGGAGGGAGGCAACGGTAGTCTTAAGGAGACATGATTTTAGACAAATTCGAACCACGATTAAGTGAGTCAAGCTTTCATATTATTAGCAGAATTCAATCTGCTCTTCAAAGTGCCAAATGAAGCTGAAATATTAGTAACTGAATATAATTTACCATGAATTCGACACCTTAACATGTTAATCTTGGCTGAGAAAACACCAAAATGATCAAAGTATGATGCAAGTCAACAGGCACTTAGCAACTGAAGAATTGAAAGTGAGTTTGGCTGGCGACCTCCCTACCACTACAAAACACTCGGTCGCCTCGTAGACTAACATGGTTGAATATCACTTTATTATTGTAGTTCACAACAAGACAGAAGTTGACTTCTTAATTTTGGGCAGGCAATGATAGTCGGTTAGAAGTTGGGATGTTGAGAATAAAGTAGAATGTTTGATGACACGAAATTTGCTCACGAAATTTGAGAAGGAAAGATGATAGAAGAGTGATTAATTTTAACATATATACTCATTATTACGATAAAGGAAAACAGGATCAGGAGATTAGAATGAACAATTCAACCAAGAAATAGATCATTAAAATTGACTTTATATGAAGTAAGATTCACCCTTTACTTGGGATAATTTAATCTTAGCATAGATGAATATACATCACTTGACTAAAGAATTTCGTAAACTCACTTTGGCTCGGATATTAAAATCATTTGTTTCTGTTGTGAAATAAATTAATCCATTTGGTTTGCATAACCACTGGTCGATATCGAAATCAAAATTTTTTTTCTGTTTAAATCGTCAGTTTTAAATCTACCTTTAGCAAATAACAAAGATGGCTAATTTTGTGGGAAGATTCCAGTTTTGTAATTTGCCATTGATGGCAAATATAAGCGTTCCTAATTTCCTTATTCGGTGTCAAACTGACAATTCCTTGACCATTTCTTCGTCATTTGTGTCACTACTAAAAATCATAGCTTCCCAATTTCAATCAAAGTAATCAGGAATGGTCTGAAGCTTTGATCAATGAATTCGGTATGGATGGGGTTTCGGAAAGTGTGATATTTGCTCCATCACTATACAATTAAGAACTTGGGCTCCAAAACTGGGGGAGGGGTGTTTATGTTGTTTCATTGTGTTTAATAGTTGGAACTAGCAAACTTACTCACAGAATTTACTAATGTGGAAAGGAAAGCGGAAGGTAAATGTTAAAAAGGCCAATTATTAGTTTCCTTTATTGTGCTTTGTGGGAGGTTTGGAATGGCGAGCCAAGACGACTATTCCTGCCGTCGATTGCACACTCTGCATACGGATTCTTTTCAAACATTTTATAATCCGTTGTCTTTATGTTCTTTCCAAGTCCTTTTAATTCAGAATTATAAGTTTATTTCTGATGATCTAATCAGAACATTATTTTCAGAGACATATTTCTCGCGTGGCGCTTGTAAGTTTACATGAAATAATACGGAATTTTCGTCATGACCATAAGCCATATAAAATATATCCAAACAGCCAATATTTAATTTTTCTTCAATAATCAAATTCATTTTTGTAAGCAAAAAGATTTAGCACTCGAACAAAACCAATTCATTGTTTACAAATAATTCTTTTGTGTTCAGCTATAATATAACAATATTTTTACTTTTGATTTCATTACATAGAGCAGTCTCAAGGTTATTATCCTCGAAGTATTTGTGCGTTCGGGTATATTTCGTGCGGACAGGTTGGTTTAACCTGTTTGGTGATTGCTTGTTTCACGTATCTTTATATTGACTTTAATGTGAATTTTTTTATTGCAAAGTTGATTGTGCTGATATCTTTTGAGTCAAACAGATGTTCTTTGTTTTCTAATCTGATTATTTCTGTTGATATTTAATTTTGAAAACGGTTGAACTTAGTGTTGCTTTGTTTGAAAACAGAATAAGCAGATTCTTAAGCTGACTAAATAATGGAGAGATCTCTTAATTCATACTAAATAGTATTTTCCTTCTTGCCAATTTAAATTTCAAATGAGCTGCTCTTTTGCAAAACTTATCATACCATTAAGTGTAATTTGTCGCGCAAGTAAATGTATCCTCACTGGAGATCCTTCCATTGTTTTTTTGTCAGGCACTAGGTGCCTTCAATGTACCTATCCTCTGATTTAATGTTGTAGACAGCAGTTTGGTTGAAGAGATCTTTACACCAATGCATTTCTTTTCTAATGATCATGGACTCAGCTGGCTTACTAGTTAGCCACTGAACTCATTTTAATGGAAAGCCGTTTCTTAGATCTTAACCGGCGAATTTATCTGTTAGTTAGTTTCCAACTGTTTAGTTCGATTTCGGATCTATGATCTCTAATGAAATAGAAAAAACCTTTCAGCAGTTCCCCACTGTAAGAAGGCGGCCTGTGATACTTTCTAGGACTAATGCATTCTCGAAATTGATTGAAGTCTTTGTCAAAATTTCTGTTGCATATCAAGATTGGTGTTGAATATACAACAAATACTTAGCGAACAAAGACCTATGTTTAGGGAGCTTGGGGATTATGGGGGAAAGATACTATCTATAACTCATTAGGTGATTCTCAAATCTTGAGATCGAATTGGATACAGTTTTTGGTAAATGAGTTGATTGTTTAAAAACTTTCATTTTTTCAAGTTGGTCAATATTTGGCCAACTACATTGCGCGATAGAGCTTGATTTATAACCCAAGCTTTTTGGTGTCTTTAAAGTTCTTCATATTTTTAAGCTTTTCAATTAGTTCATATCATTTCTATTAGTCAATATAATTTACCAATAAAGACCATATTTGAATTCTGTCAAAACCCATTTCTATTTCTGTTTATCTTTAAATGGTTTTCGCCCTTTCAACAGCATATGCTATTGGACTCAAGTAGTGTCGTGTTTTCTACTTCTAAATGATCTTCTAGATGTCGAAATCTGTGAGGAGAATGTTCCTAGGCTGTGCGAGGAAGTCAGGAAAATACAAGTTAGTCATCGACTTATTGAGCAAATAAATGCGGAAATTGAGGGGCTTTTGGAACGAGTCCTCGTTGCACTACCATCTGACAGTTCTGGTAATTTGAACTCCCTTCTTTATATGTCTTTTTAGATCCAGGGTGCTTTGCAACTGTTAAATATGCATCGTTTGCGGAATCTTCTTCACCATGGAGGTTACTATTTATGCAGGTAAATAATCATCCCATTTTACACGTTCGTCTACTTATATAACTAAGTAGGCGGTTGTTGTTGTAATGACTCAATTGTGAAGTGCTTTCCAACACCAATTTTAATTTAATATGAGTTCATCAGAACATTACAACTCATTTGGTGCACTTTGATTATATTCCATTTGTTTTGAAAGCTAGTGTTATTTTAGTGGTGGGTATACCATACCCTGTTTGTCATTCTTTCCTAGAGTCTTTTCAAAGGCTAGCATACATAAGAATTTTAATGTTAGTTCGACTATTTGGGTCTAGAGCTATTTTTCTTATTCCCATTTAGGCTTTCATCTCTTGTAGTTGATCCTAGGTAGGAGCATTCTTTCGTTTTTTGTAGGATGACTATCTATGCCAGTTTTTTTCTTTTCAATTTCTGATTACTTCTACGTCCACCAAGGCATTCACAAGTTTAGTTAGAGTTCATCTATGCCACATTTTAGCCCTTGTAATCTTATGACGTGTATATGCCAGTTTGCGTTGATTATGTCGTGTGACGAAGCTGAACACATGCTGTTTATGGGATATGTGAGATAAGATTCCTTGTTATTGATATCTGTCTTCATTTCAGATGTTGATAACTTTGCCTGGTGAATCGATTCTTGCAATTCTGCGAAATCAGCTTCTCTCACCTAATTTGGTGAGCGGCGGTGGTTTTAATTTGGGACTTTTTTTGTCTCTTATCTCAACAATTGTCGTTTGTTGTAAAAGGGGGACATCACATATCACCAGTATGTCGAACTTTCTCCCTATAATCCAATTTGGCTGCAGATTTTCTTCATTATATCCTCTTGAGTATCTTCTCTTCAATACCAGCCCAAAGTTCTGAGGATTCTTCTAGTCAACCCCCAGATTTAGCAGCTCTTTTAGATGACTCGATCAGTTCGTTGGTTTCCCAATCTCAAAATGCTGCTATCAGTTGTGCTGACCCAGTGGAGCTGAAATTCATCCAATTCTACCATGTCCTGATCATTGTTCGACAGATTTGCGTTGAAGATACTCGATTGACGGCCTTTTCTTATGGGCAGTGGTGGCGTGAAAACTTTTCCACATCTCCTGTTCTTCAGAAGGAGGGATCTAGTAATGGAGGTGTTCTAGCTACTCGGCGAAGTCTGGAATTGCTTTCCATTCTACTAACGCGACTTCTGCCCTTTGAGAGAAATCCCGTCCACTTGTCTACACAACTTGCGTCCCCTACGCCTTTCTGGGCGATAATGAAGGAGAAAGATAAGAGTGAAGAGGAGTGCTGTCGTGTTTGGAATGTTTACATCGATGTTGCGAGAGGTCGTTTGGCTGAACTCAGGGTGAGTTAATTTCATATCCTATGTCCCATTTATATATGGTATGCTACTAATATAACGACAAATTTAGCTATAACTAGCTTTTGTTATTAGTAATGTATGGGGTGGATACATTATTATAGGCTAATACTTTTGGGTAAGAATGGAAAAAAATTGATTTGTGTCTTTGGGGATCCTTACTTTATGTGGCTTAACAAGAAGCGAAGTAGAGACGCTTATAGTTGGACTAGTGTTTAGCACCTAAGTACGTCAATCAACTGCTCCCCAAAAGACAAAGGGCTTAGTGCAGATCAAATTACCAGACTATTATGGTAAAATATGTCATGAGCGAGTACAGAAAGGTTAACTAATATGGTACTTTTTATTCAAAAGTAATAAGTACTTATTAGCAACTTACTAAATACCCAATAGTTCGTAGTAATTGTTGAAAGTGTTTACCATGTACTCATCACGTCTCTTTTGTCTTGGTCGCACTGTTTTTACTCCCACGGTCACTTCTAGTCCTCAGTTCACCCCGACAAAGGGGTAAAAGGCAGGACAGATGAGCAATTGCTCCAAAGTCGCTTCATTGCTGTTTTAATAAAAGCATATTTAGTAGAATACAGCCAGTGGTAATTCTCTTGAATTACTGCTTCACCATGGACTTCTTTAGATTTATCCCACTTTCTGTATATTGATTTAGATGAATCGAGGTAACGAAACACCAGGACCACCTGTGAATTCTATTGGTTGGCCTTCTGAGGTTGAAACTCTAGTGAACGAATTTATGAAAATGAGCAGTAATACTGTTGACCCAAAAATGAATAAACTACCCTCCACCTTAATTGAAATGCATCTTTTTCGAAAAGCCTTCTTAAGAGATACTGTGCTACCCTTGCTGCGAAATCCTCCTTTATGTATTCCAGAGGAGAAGCGGACGGCCTGCGGAGTTATACTTAAGACCGTTGAAACGCGTCTACTACTTAAGTGCGCTGATGCTAGTTCAGATCGACCTCATCGATCACCAAAGAAAAACGTTAGGGGCAAGAGAATACGTCCTAGAAAGTGATATGATTAGTCTTTTTTTATTCTGCAAATATATTCGTTTCCAGTCTATGCGTATTCTCTTTGATGAAAATTCAGGCTGGTGGATAAGGATGTAGAAGTTGTTCTGTAGAGTAGGCAAAAAACTGTCTGAATTATTGTTAGACGTAGTTGAAAGTGTTGATGTAAATAAGAGAAAATGGGGTGGGGTGGGTTATGGTGAGGTGACAACTTTGTTCTTCCAGGGAGTTTGACAGGGGTAAAGAGTGGACAGCAAAAGCCACAAACTCCTTGCGCTTTTGACCAAAGAGCACTCGACATCACGACTGGTCTCACTCTGAATAATAAGCTATATTATTCTTGTCTGATTATCTGGACAGTTTGTCTAGACAACCTACCTCACCGGTACAGTCTTGCAAATAGTCCGAATAGTTAATAAAATTATCGCCTTGTCTGTGTCAGCTTTGGCCTCAGCGATACCTAGTGGACCCGTTGATTAAGGCAACATAATTGATGAAATGACCTAGTTTTGTGAACAAAAATATTTGTTTATTTATGTCAAATGGCAGGCGTTATGATAGTTATCATTAGCCCTTTAGTTGAGTTTAGACTTCATAGAGGGGAAAAAACATCAAATTGAAAAAAGGGGGGAGGAAGAGAAGAGTGTTTCAAAGATGTAAAAGAGACAGACACAAAGGTAGAAAAAGGTGAGATGATTACTTTGGAAGTAGTGGAATATGACATAGAGTGGGGTGATGGTAGTTTGAAGTCAGAAGTCAACTGCCAGTTAATGGACTTTTTTGCCGTATGAGTATACGTTGTCCAGGGTGCGCCACGTGGAGGTAAGTCTATTACGCACCCCGTAAACAAAAATATGAGTTTTACGTTATATGGGCTACAGATTCTTACATTCTATCTCTTACTTTGGAAAGCATATATGTTGTTGCATTTCCAAAAGACTTGCATTCGACCCGGTGTAAGCTTGGAGAATGACGTTCTGATTTATGCCCCCAAGTGCCAGTGGTTTCAAAGAAAAGGGGCTTAAGTAGTGATTTCTTCATGGTTTTAACATGGTCTAGGCACTATTGAGGTTTCGAAACGGCCCATTATTAATGGAGTAATTCATGCTATTCTGAAGGCTTAATTAAGGTATTTTTTCTGGATTTAATTTTAAATGTGGTTAAAGCTATATTTCTGTGGTCTAAATTAATGTTTATTTGGCATTCTCCATCGCCATACTTATATCGGACCTTGTAACAATAATTCTGCGAAAATTCGTCAAAATATACTATCTCTTTTGCCTCAGCTTCATTCCCAGGCTATCGTTTCAACCATCTGACGTCTCATCTAACATGCTTCCAAATTCTGGCGGCATTTTGCTTCCGTGTTCCCCAACAAACATATACTATTCTCCACCTTTGCCAACTCCTGTCGGTCAGCGCCTACTGTGAGATACTTTAACCAACTCTTCTCTATCTGCAACTCTTCCTTACTACCGACATGCTTTCTTGTTCTATTTCATTCGAAGATAGAGTTATTTCAAGTGGTAGGCGTTTTGATAGTTATCATTATCCCCTTAATTGACTTCGAACTTCACTGAGGGGAGGGGCGACATCAAAATGAGAAGTTGAGAGGAGGGGGGAGCAGAAGAGTGGTTCACAGAAGTAAAATATACAGAGGCAGAGAAAAGGTGAGAAGGCAAAATAAACCGAAAGTAGATATTTCTTTGACATCTGACGAATTTTGGGGAGTATTATGACAGAAATATAACAGCGATTTTTAAGAAAGGCATACCTTCCACATTTTCCATCTAAAGATAATGAGTAGGAGATAAGTCTGGTCATACTTTAAACAGAATGTGGAGTTGATTTAATGATTCTGTGGCTAAGGTAACAACCATTCGTCTGATTCTCTGACCCTTACTAACTTTCATTTATTTATATCGAATGACAGGCTCTACGATGGTTATTATTAACACTTTAGTTGACTTCAAGCTTCACAGAGGGGAGAAACATCA